GTAGTGCGCTCGATTATCTAAACCCCTCCTGGTAGCCACTGAGGAGATTAATCTAAATCACATTTTCTGGACTATGTTTAAAAACAGCTTTCTGCCAGAACAGAATAGTCCTTGACTATTCTAGGGACCGTCAGTGCCATCTGCTTATCTTGCTGGTCATACACGTTTTGAGATTAACATAAACTACGCAGTGTCCAGACAGGGCAGCTGCATTACCCAGCTCCAGAGGACAGCATTTATACTGTGCTCCGAGGGCTTGCCATTCACATGGGGTAGTGTGGATGACACCCTCTAGAGCTGTGTAACACCCAGTATTATTCCCAGAACACTCTATATGGAGGTCTCGAGCTCTTCTATTTACTGCTCTATCTTTCTAAACCAAAGGTAGAGGACAAGAGGAGGAAAAAATATCCATTTATACTGTTGCCTCTAGTGGGACCAACTCTTTAGAAAAAGATTACATGTTGTCTATTTGTATCCGTTAGGTAAGGCTGCTGTAACAATGTATCACAAACTGGGACGCTTAAAACAACAGAGATTTATTCTCCCAGTTTGAAGGCTTAAAGTCTGAAATCAAGGCGTCGGCAGGACCTTGTGCTCTCTGAAAGCTCTAGGGCAAGATCTGTCCTCTCCTCTTCCTAGCTTCTAGTGGTTCCTGGCAATCCACCGTGCTCCTTGGCTTATAGCTGCATCACTTCATTCTCTGCCTGCGTCTTCATCTGCCTGTCTTCCCTCTAAGTGTTTCTGGTTCTGTCTATGTCTCTTCTCTTCAGGTAAGGACACCAGTCATTCTAGATTAGGGTCCATACTACTCTTAACTGATAACATCTTCAAAGACCCTATTTCCAAACAAGGTTACATTCGCAGGTAACGGGGGTTAGGATTTCAACGTATCTTTTTGAGGGGACACAATTCAACTCCTAACGCTGTTCTTCTTAATATTTTTTTCTAGCACCCTGAGAAAGAGGAACATGAGAGAGATGAACAGTGCTTTTAATTCTTGTCCAAAGACTTTCAAGGCATTTCAATTGCAATATTTATTTGTTCTCCTTCTTCACTCTTAAAATAACCTGGTAGAATGAGTGCCTGGAAGCAGCTTGTAGAATGACATGAGCAGAGCTGACGCTATCTATCTTGTGCTCATCTTTCACTGCACTTAGGGTTCTTCCACCTTCTCTAAAAGAACACAGAAGCATTGCTACTTATAGCCGTAATGTGAGGTCCATGGGGTGGGGGCAGGGCAAAACCTTCTCCAATAAAACCCTAATGCCCTTGGATTCCCTAAGCTGGCCGAGGCCTAGAGGGTTGTTGATTTGTAAATTTGGACAGAGAAGGTTGGTACTCCCCCAATGTTTGTCTTCATCTGTAGTAATAAACCCCCAAAATTTTAGCAACCATGTGGTTGTCCAGAATAAACAATATGTTTGTCAACTTCTCTTGCATCAAGTTGCAGACAAGTGGGTAAATTCTAGGGTGTAAGTGGAAGTGTTACATGGCAGCTTCTGGGAATCTACCTTAAAAGTCAGATGATGAGCATCCTCTGCCCGTTTTTTTTTTTTTTTTTTTTTTGGTCCCTTCCACCATCTTGCATGGGTGTGATGTCTAGAGTTCCACCCCGATAGTGGACCACAAGGACATAGGGATAGCAGAGTTGAGGGCTATCAATAGCCTGGGTCCCTGAGGACCTCATGGAGCAGAGTTGCCACTTTGCCTAACGAATTCATTTACATGAATGAGAAATCAGCTGCTATCTTGGATAAACCACTGCTATTACAGGTTTTAAGGTCCCTGGGTGGTGAAATGGTTTGCACAGCAAGTACTGTAGAAGACAGGCCTGGCCATCTGCTTCCACTAAGTTGACAGCCAAGAAAACCCTATGGGGCAGTTCTGCTCTGTAACACATGGGATTGTCAGGAGTCAGAATCGACTCAACAGCAACTAGTGACAACAGCAAACAACACTGTAGGTTTCTGATTACTCACAGCAGAACCTAACCCTAACTAATGCAGGGGGATTCTGAGAATAAGCTCTTTTGTTGTTGTTTTTTCTCATTACCACAGAAAATTCTGAGGCAGGCAGGTTTGAGAATTACTACTCCAGTCTCATTAAACATAATTTCTTGTTTTTTTTAAAAAATTTTTTTTTGGCCAGTCTGATATGGAAAGACATCATTTACACATCTCTCATCTTCCAACTTGAGACTGAATTGCTCATAAATTTCGTTGTTCCACGTATAATTGTTGTAAGTAGTTCATGGAAATGCCCACTAGGAACCTGAAAGTCAACATTTCATAGGAAACAGTCTCACAGGCCTACCTGAACCTCAGATTGACTGCTACTTAAACCAAACCCCTTGTCATCGAGTCCATTCCAACTCATAGCGACCCTGTAGGACAGTTGACCGCCACATCTTTCTCCTGTGGAGCAGCTAGTGGGTTCAAACCACTGAGCATTTTAACCACTGTGCCACCAAGCTGCTACTTACTTAGAGATAAAAATGCATATAGAGAAAGTATAGGTTCAGAAGGAAAGGTGGTTAACAACAGCACAAAGGAAAAGCAGAGTACTGAAATTCGAGAGGCAGTATCTCTCAGCACTGACCAAAAGGGAGGTGCTGGGGTGCACAAACATTCTGCTCACTAGGTAAGAGATCCTCAAAATGGGGTGCTCCTACCCTTGGGAATACGAGGGACGATATATAGAGATGCAGGCCGAAAATATTAGAATTACTACTGCAATTTAATTTTGTCTAAATGATAGTAAATGAATCTTTACTAGCATTTCACATGCAGACAGATACTGTTGTCCTCTCCAGGTCACCCCTGAAATAGCAATGTGTCAGCAATGAGGCATCCCGAGGGATGAGGGTGAGTTCCAAAATGCAGAGGGGTCAGTGGCGGATATTCTCGGAGAACGTTACCTTGGAATACACAGCTCTTCACACTTTCTGCCCGCTCCCCAGCTCTCAATTCTCAGTCGTCCCTGTGCCCCGTCTTCCAATAGTTCTCCTTGTAGGCCTTGACCAACCAGCCAAGCCATTTGCCATTTGCCTGTATATTCTTTCCTCAAGGTATTCCTCTGAGTCTTCTGATTGCTTCTTCCACCATCTGCCATGGCAGTTCTGGCATTTCTACTTCCCTGAGTGTGTGCCAGCAAGTCTGATGGTGCAGTAGTTAAGAGTTCAGCTGCTAACCAAAAGGCTGGCAGTTCAAACCCACTTGCCAACTCCTTGGAAACCCTATGGGGCAGTTCTACTCTATCCTATAGGGTCGCTATGAATCAGAACCAACTCAGTAGTACCTAACAACAACAAGTATGTGCCAGGAGGTCTGGTTGCACAGTGGTTAAGCGCTCAGCTGCTAACCAAAAGGTCAGTGGTTTGAACCCACTAGCCGGTCCAAGGGAGAAAGAAGTGGCAGTCTGCTTCCATAAAGATTTCAGCCTTGGAAACCCTACAGGGCAATTCTACTCTGTCCTATAATGTCTCTGTGAGTCAGAAGAAGCAACAATGGGTTTGAGGTTTTCTTTTTTTTGGGGGGGGGGTGTTTCATAAATGTGTGCCATTACCTTCTCCAAGCTTCCAAGAGCCAATCTAGCAGTGTGTTAGTAACATCTTCTGGGGTCTTCCCTGTATCATGGAGGAGTATTTCCATATTGGTAAACTCTTGCTATCAGTTTATAGCTGCTCCCCTTAACCCAGCCCCCTCAGGGTCCAGTCCCCCACACACTGTCCCAGCTTCTGTTGACAGGTGTTGGCCAGGTCCTGCAGCTTCTGGAGGGCAGAGTCCCTTTCCCCCATCAGCAGCCTCAGCACCTCTCTGGATGGGTTATTTTGTCACTTGATTCTAATTACGGTTCTCGTGGCCAGGACAAGAGGTAAGGGTAGAGCCAAGCCGGTCATGTGTTGACTTACAAAGCAGGAGTCTCTGTATGTCTTCAGGCAAGAGGAGAGCGCAGCCTTTAGCAGGGAAGAGCAGTCACCTCTGCAGGCCCAAGGGTTCAGAAGAATCTGAGAGTTTGAAACTATCAGATTCATTGACCCAGATGTCCCCATCCCAGTCACAGGTTCCCCTTCCTCCTAGTCAAAGCCCTAACCTTGGAGTAGCAGACTAGGATAGAGAATTCAGCTTTCTGTGGAACTCCACATCCCTTATAATTAAGTCCTGGGCCTGCTCCTCTGCTTTTTCTACCCTGTGACTACAGATGAGAGTCCCTTTATATGCTGCCAGAGGAACACTCTGCCATTCACAGTTCACCTTACCTTAGTAATAAATCACCTTCACAGCTTTGACTGTGTTTTTCTAGTGTAGCAATAGCCCCCAGCAACAGCCATCTGACTCCATGGAATTACAACTTCCTATAAACCTCTCAAATGCCTGAGATGCCTTCTAACTGGTATCCCATCCCAACTTCTCCACTGCTGAAAGTTTTAACCTTTGCATAGTTACAGCATGCCAGAGGCTATCAGTACTCCACCTACCACCAGGGAGAGGTCCTCAGTGCCAGCTGGCTGGTTGGTGATCCAGCTCCCAAATGCCATTTTAGAGTTTGCTTCCTGAGACCACTTCTGTTAGCAACTGTCATAGGCCAGGTTCCCCAGGAAACAGACTCTGAGATAGAGATTTCATGCAGAAGACCTGCTGGTGATCACTTTGGGGAATAACACCTGTAAGGGAGTGAAGAAGGCAGGATTTAAGCAAAAGGAGGAATTGAACTGTGATGTTGTGTTCAACAGAGGCTTCAGTTGGCTCATGGGAGTTCTGATGCTCCAACAGCCCTTCAGAGAAGTCCTGAATTGAGGCAAAGGGGCTGGGCCTTTTTACCCTCACCTTGACTTGCCTTTGGATGTGGGCTGCCACCAGAGAGAAAGGCATGGCCTTGGGCTAGGCATCTACCTTCAGCCAAGGGCAATTTCCATGGAGGAACTCAAGTCCTTAGCCTACCCCAGCAGCCAACGCTCCCAGAAGCTGGGGGAATAAGTGCCTTGGACTGAATGGGGGAAGGGGTGTATCTGGGCAGTGCACCACAGCATCCCATATGCAGCTTCTGCCTTGTAGACCTTCAGTATTGCTCTCATCATACCTTTATCTCTATTTGGCCATTCACCATAACAAAGATTAAGACTACAGTCATCCCTCATGACCTGGCTTCTCATCCCTATATGGCCCTGGACATCATCTAATCTGAAACCCCGTCTTCCTCAGCTCACCGAATCCTTCTTCTGGGTCCTCTAGAATTCATGATTTGTATCAACAAAATCTCCTCTAGACCCTAACTGTTCTCTGAACATTCCTTCATCTTCTTGGCCTAAATTCTTGGAGTCTTCAAAAGAGTCTCCAATGAATGGCATTACCAAGCAGCTTCTGAAATAAATCAAAAAATAAAACAAAAAGTAATTATGGGAGCCCAAAATGTCACCTTTATAAGTGAGAGAGGCAAGGTGGGAGGATGTAGTTAGGTACATTAACCCTGTGGGCTCGGTAAGGCTATACCTGAGAATTACATAGACCTCCCCACTCAGTCATATCAGCACTGGTCCACACATACATTCCATCATTTCTGAAGCCCTCAGCTATATAGTTTTAAGTCATTTTCTACTGCATGCAAGTTGTCTCAGACCCTTTTTGGAAACAGATGAGGTGTAATTAGGAAAAACACAAAAAAAGATAGGACCCTCAGAAACAGATAATAATAGATAACAACAGGTAATAACACGTGCCACACGCCAAACGAATGGTACAGAATATTAGTACTGGAGGTGGTCACCAAAAAACCAA